TTTTTTTTTTTTTTTTTGCTTGGCTGCCTTGTCGCTGTAATAACCTTGCTTTATTTATGCTCGTAGTGAGTTGTAAACTTTTTTGTTAGAAAATCTACGCAGCCAGCACTTATAAATGTTTGAGAAGAAAGTGGGGTGAGCAGGCAAACTGACAGATCAAAAAGGTTTTTTAAGTGACAGAGTAAAAAATCTGACATCTTATTAAGTAAGAAAATATTGAAAAATAGTATTCAAAAAATGGTTTAAAAGTGCACGAATGCTCAGAATATTTGAAAAAAAGTGATTAGAAAGTAGCACGAGAAATATAAAAGATATTTTTAATAAGTGATTTGTTTAAAGAATATCATGATTTGGTTAGTCGGTTGCCCAAATGACCGCGAAGTCGTCAGTTTGGGCCTGCTCAGACGACATATCCGCTCAGTGTTGAGTGGGAAGGCAAGTGGTATTAAGAAACATGGTAAATATGAATTTCATTTATATAAATATATGGAAAAGTCAATGATATTGGTGTGTGGTACGACGAAAACAGGCAGGAAATGAGGGCTTGGAAACCAGGGATGAGGAAGCGGCATGTGGAGTTACCGCTTCCCCAAACTGTGAAGATCGACCGGATTAGGCAATGCAGAGAAGGAAAGAAGATTATCCTACACATCGACGAAACGTGGGTCTGGTGTAACATAGGGCACCGAAGGGTTTTCGCACAGGACTATCGGGACCTATTCTCTGAGTGTCGCTTACAACCAAAGAATCCCAGGCTGGAAGGGAATTGGCGGCATTGCCAAGGACCGATCCTTGAGCTGGGGAGAAGCAAGAAATCGAGGAAAAACGCAGGGAGGCTGCAGGGATACGGGATTCGTGAGAAGAGTCAGAAATTCTGGAGTTGAGAAGCTGGAAGGAGAGATCCTTGACCCCGCCAAGTAAACCCCGCCTGATCTAAAAATGATATAAAAGAAAGCGAAACCAACGAGGCCGAGAAAAGGAAAGAGTTTTTTCTTGTCATTTCATTACTTTGTTGTTATCAGTTTTCCTTACTTGCTTGCGCATTTTACAACCATGCTTACTTTTATTTAAGGTTTAATTACCGGAGTTTGAGGTCGTGTTATACTACTCGAGAAATAAACTTTGATACTGAAGACCCGCGTGGCAGTCCTTTAAACTAACAAGGAATTATAATAACCCGACGTATTACGAACAGAAATCGATTTAAATTCATTTATACTGAGAAAGTGCTACTACAGGCTTCGAATTTACGTGGAAGAAGACTGATTGTGCTGGATTCCCTGTCGTTCAAGGGCCTGCTGCGCGAAGCTGAAGAAGTCGTCATATCTGGACAGCGGAATAAAGACGGAGATTAAGGCCATGACATGACCTTCGACTTCTATAAAGCCTGGCTGATCAAAGTCGACAACTTGGAGACGGCGTTTGGCAGGAATAAGATCGTCCTCGTGATTGGTAATGTTCCGTATCACTGTAAACGACTTGATCGCATTCCCACGTCAGTGGATACGAAGGAGACGCTGTCGACATTTCGCAGCATCACACACTGCTATACAAAACATCGTGGAGGAAGAGGATAACGCTGCATGTATTCGACGACATATTGCCGGGAGAGAAGAAGAGTTCAAGACATAGGTGGTTGACAGGATTGCGCAGGAAGGGGGACTGAACTCCTTTGACTGCCCCTTTTTCACTGCCATTCTTCTCCAATTGAGCTCTTCTGGGGTTGGATGAAATACAACGTCGCCTTAAAAGCGCACCCGAACATCAAGGAACTACGAAATCTAATGCTCGAAGCGAGTCACTTTTTCACATTTAAAAAGAGGAAAAAATATCAATAGATAACGGCTATTTAATATCCTTCTTTAAACGATGGGAGGAGTTCCCAAGGATTTCCCGTCCAACTGGTTCGATCACTGTATCCGAATAGAGGACTTTATGTACGCTCGCGACCTCCTCAACCTGCAGGCTTCGTGGAAGTCGGATGCATTCTTCTGAATGACAGCGAAAACGAAGCATCGGACACGAAGGATATTGACGACTAAATTGGCACGTCATATATTTCGACAATTATTTCTCAATTACTTCATTGTAAAATAACCCAGTATTTGTAAAACGAAGTGTATCTTTAAATGGTAAAAGTTAAAATAAACTTATTCTTAGAAGATGAACGAAGAAAAATGGAATGCCTTAAAAAAATTGATCCTTGGCTGCACGTTACAGACAAAAAATGCACTAACTATACTTAACCAAAATCTACTTTACAACAGAAAAAGTACCTTTTTAAAAATTACGGATTATATTTTTGTGACAATTTTACAAATTCAAGCTAACATTTTGGAGAACCTTAAAATGAAAAAAAATTGCAGATAGATGAATAAAAAAGTTATTTTATTTGTAAAGTGACAGAATTAGCAAACCAAAAAATTGAACAAAATAACGCATTTTGGCTAATAACTCGACGAGAAAACTAAATTTTACAAAATTCAACGAGCAAATTGCATTCTGGAATCTCATGATTGGAATGAGATTACTAAAAATTTCCAACAGCAAGGATGTTAAAAGCGCCTTGATACGAACGTAGATCAACACTTGTCTAAACTGCTAGCCGGCAGTGTTACTATAATTGTGGTCCCGTCTTGACAAATATTTCACGCCAAATTGGAAATGAAGATGCATATATGTGCTTGATGCATACTGTCTCGGTTTTGAAAATTTATCAGCTGGGAAATAGGTTGTTTTTTCGTGAAAAAAACCACTTTTTTCACCTAGAATTTAGTTTGCCATTAGTATCCTTGCGGAATGCACTATTACTGTGTTTTTATTGTCCTTTTTCAGAGTAAACCGCATAGGTTCTTTTAAAAATTTATTGTTTACACAAAAAAATCAAGTATTTCGGGGAACAAATTCGAACAATCAGAATTCAATTGAAAATTGAGCAATCAAAGCGGAAAAGCATTATTTATATAAAAAGAATTATTCTTTACAAGTAACGATCTTCGCAAATTAAAGAATAGTTACACATGTTCATCCTAACTTCCTTCCTCACATCATCGTTAGCAGTTGGAGTCTCATCTGCGCTGTCATCTAATACGTCACATCGGGAGGCTTAACGTTGCAGGAGTACATAAGGTTTGCACTGTTTTTGCGCTACTCCATTCAGTTATGCAGAAAGTGTGGAGGGAATTCGTAAATCGTTTTTTGAAATTTGTGATTGCTTCCATTAAAAGACTTGTGTTTTCCACCTCCTTCCGGAATAAACTCTCATTCTTTTAAATTAAAAAATGATCTTGACCTTTTTACGTAGTTTATTTTCAGTTTATGACTTAAATTACCCAAGGACCCCAACCTTAATAATTTTTTCCTTCTACTTAACAAATGGTTGTCAAATATTATTTTGCCTAAAGATTTTAGTTGCACTTCAGCATCCGGAAAAAGAGTAGAAATAATTGGTGTTTTTGCACTCGAAAAGCGTTTTCCTTATTTGTGACACAAACAACGAAGACACAAAGCCTTTACATATGCCATGGTTAGAGGCAGCCAAGGAGTGCAAAATGTTTCCTAGAAGTTCATAAAAGTCTAGGAAAAAATTAAAAAACGTATGGGAAAAAGCGTGAAATTCAATATACTGAGAATTGTGTCTTTGCGCAGTTTTACTTTTTAAGCACTGTTTTCTTATTTTTTCGGTGTTCATGACTCATCGTTAACTGATTACGGCTGACCAGAATCCGACACCATTAAGTTCAGGAAGAATTGGTTGTAGGCCGAAAACGACTGCAAAGTTTCTGTAAACCTCTGTTCACACTGCTGCTAACGCTCCGAAGTACGACAAATTTGCAAAAAATCAGTTGGGAGAAATTCTAGACGCAAGTCTACAGTACGAGAAGGCAATGCAGGACGAACCACTGGTTACAGGTAACCTTGACCAAGTTTGCTCCAGAAGACGTAAAAAATAAGCACGTTTTGTAAATTAAACTTAGATTTTAGCCTAGTGACCGTGCTGAAACTTCCTGCTAAGTATGGACTGTATGAGAGGAAACCAAGACGAAACCGATGGTTTTAAAAATGACTTTGTTGTTAGAATTGCTTGTCCACAACAGCAGTACTGGCAGTTTCTGCAAAACCAACAAAAGAATTGAGCTCTTCTGATGCACTACCCAATTCAAGGTCACATAGCTTTGGTCGAGTAAACTTCCCTGTCTTGTTTTGATGACGGAAGTAAGTTTCAAAACCGGATATGGCATAAAAAGCGGGCATAAAAATGTAAAAAAAAGTTAAGTTGAGAATGCATTCATTTAACTGCTGCATCGGATAATGTCAATTAATGTTCCCATATAATTACAGTTTTAAAAGAACAGCTCTAAGTATGCAGAATTAACGAAAAATCGGAATATTATTGCTTTGTTCTTCCAGAAAATCAAAAAGTTTCCGGAATTTATTTATTGTCAATGTTTTCATAATCGGAATATGTGTGGCATTATAAGGCAATAGCCTGTTCTGCAATTATCATCATCATTGCCACTGCCACTACATTGTTTGTCTGCGATATCGCAAAAGCATCGAGCAGACCGGTTGGTACTACTGTTGGTTATCCGGATTCCGTTATAAGAGACAGACAAAACCGACCCGGACGAATTCTATTGTTTAATACGCATTTCAATTTCCTTTTATTAGGATGATAGCTATAGGATGTTGACAGACAAGTTGATGATCACTTGTTTTCAACAATCAAGTTGGTGCTTTTAGTCCTAGATTTTGTGACTGTCAGTAGTTGGTTGTTGTAAAACACCGGTAAACTGAGCATTTTCAATCTTAAATTATGCTTCAGTTCTGTTCCGCGGGTTTTTATGTTCACCATTTTTTATAGGTCTTACTTTTTTCACTTTTTTGTTAATTAAGTGTTGACATTTTTTGGTATATCAAAATCATCATTAGGTCAGCTGCGTTATATGGCTTTTGAACTTTAACTGACTAGAGAGACTTGTTCTGAAATTAAAAAAACTTATCTATACGTTTTAAATTTTTTCATTTTCTTGAAGTAGGGATACCTTGTGGTCTGTACTCTTTAAAGTTTTGCTGCAGTTCTCGCTTATCTCATACATTTTGTTACATATGTGAAGTAAAAGAGCTTTCAAATTATATACATTACTGACATGAGTAAGAACATTACGTATAAACTTATATTTTATAGGAAAAGTCGTTGATCACTCTAGGGACTTCAGCCATGCTTAACAAATCAAACTTATTCAAATCCATTTTTATAACTCTGCTGATACAGATGAGTTTGCTGTTTGAAAGTAATTTTTCCTTACAAACAGTGAATGCTGATCAAAATATTGGAAATTTCGCAGAGCAACATTCACCAAATATCAACATGATAGACGACTTTTCACCTAAACTATCTAAATATGGTCGCCCAAGAAGATACAGTAAGCAGTTATTATATTTCGCTCTCCATTAACTTCTATGCTGTAACGCTGCTGTCTAAATTTATAAAACAGGTGTAATCTTTCAAAATGCTAGTATCAATAATTCTCTGTTATATTCAGTCTTGTCGGGTGCCAAATGGCCTAATCGAGAACTGAGCTGGAAGTTATTGAAAAAACATCTTCGTACAGGAGATTACGACAAAGTGAGGTAAATCTTAGATATTTTCCTTATATCTTTAAAATGAAGAAGGAATGCAAAAAAGAACGTTTAACTATTTTCTAATTAAACAATAAATACAGAAGTGTTCTTCACTGCAATCTCAATTTATAAAAAAGCTTCAGTCAATTACACCGCTACGCCTATTGAAACTAAAATCCACACAGAAATCTTATCAAATTCTTTTTGCATGAAATAATAATCTAGTAAAAATAAGACGAAGAAATACAGTGTAAATAAATCTTAAGTATCGTCTTGATCTCAAAATAATATGCCATAAGATGAACTTTGTATACAACAAAAGAGCCTTTAACTTTTTAGAGGAGCTGAAATGAAATAAACTCAGAGGCATTGCAAGTTTCACATTATGACGCGTTTTGTATTGTAACAAATTATAGAATTTTTACTCAGCATCTAGATTAATTTTAAGCAAATGTATTGAGGACTTGATTTGTCCCGTTAATCTACGGCTCTGATTCTTACACAGCTTAGTCACTCATGCTGTCCTAAAACTGCCCACAATTAGACAATTCTTTATCAGTTCCGCAGATACAGAAGAGCACTATAATGACTCTTAAGAATAAACGTAAGCATTGGGACAAACAGGCGCTTTCCAGAAGGAAATAACACGTTTGCAGTTTCCATTTAACTGCTCCAAATACTACTGACTATAAATGTTTTATTTCAAACAGGAACTCGCTTCGAAAAGCCTTTGAACTTTGGGAATCTGCTTCATCACTGCGATTTGTTGAAAAACCCGATGACGAGAAGACAGATGTTGAAATATCATTTGCCCGAAAAGTTCATGGAGACAAAATGCCGTTTGACGGGAAATGTTAGAGTTGACCTGAAATTCCTTTTTAGACGCTTTTCACACATTCTTACATCACTTTCTGTTCCTAAACTAGTAACGCAAGAAGGTTTTCTTTTAAAAAAATAACATTTTAAACGTAAAAGTTGAAAAACCTGTAGTGAAGTAAGAGAATGTCATACTGAAAAACCAAGCACCATAGGATTAATTTTTTTCCTTTGATAAAGATTTTCAGACGGAATAATTGCTCATGCCTTTTATCCAACCGATGGCCATTTACATTTTGACGCTGACGAAATGTGGACATTCAACAGCAATCAGGGTATTAACTTTTATCAGGTTGGTTGCTGAAGAATTACTTAAGTGTTTTACTGCTGGGAAGAAGACAAAACTTTTCTGAAATTTGTTCAATGACGCCTTCCAACAATTATTTAACTGTTTGTTGCCATCCAGTTCACTATGAACATTTTCGCCACATAGAGTCTATCTTGTCATCTACGACCTACTACTTTCAAAGTTAGGCAAATAAACTTATGCTAAGATACAGTAAGTGTTTTATGAATCATAACTGAAACGTAAGGCTCGAGAACTAGAAAATTAACTTAAAAACATTAAAATTGGATTATTATTGATAAAAAATATATACAAAAATGAAAATTTATGGTTTTAGCACTTCCTAAGCAGCTTGACAATTTAATGAGCTTAGTTCAGTTTTCATAAAGAAAAATTTTCCAAATGTTTTCTAAACGGAAGTGCTATCACTGTCATTTTACCAAAATGGTCCCAGATCCTTAACATTGATAATGGGCTAAAATTTTTTACCTGGTTATTAAAAATACCAAATTTATTTAGTAAAGTTTTAAAGTTTATTTACATTTTATCTATTTGCTTGGCTAAAATTTTTTTCCTTTCCACATAAGGTATATTTTTTACCTTAAAGCCATTACAAAGCTGTGAGTAAAGTGAGAAAAAAGTCCGACAAATTTTTTGACTGTAAGATTTGCAAAAATAAAAATTTT